AACAAAACAAAGCCAAATTTTGAAGTCATAACTGATGCTTGTATAACTTATTCTTACAATGTCTCAATATGTAGCAGGCATATGACAGGTAGTAGTGTTGAAATTCGATGACGAAGAACCCACTTAGAAACTAATAACGCTTTGAGACTGCTTGAATGGGTAATGAAGAGAAACTTTAATATAAGTTTAACATAACAGCAAGTTTACAATGTTTCGACAAGGTTTTGTCATCATCATATATACACAGTATGGAACAAAGAGGTCACATGACCAGATTTTATTGCCCAACTTAGAAGATATATCTTGGCACCCCAGAGTGTTGGTTTAGAGTAGGTTGTTTTGTTCAATTAAGATGGAGTCCTTGATTTTTCGTTTGTTTATGATTGATTCTTTGTTTAAAATTACTGTGTTTTTAATAGATATACTATAGTTTTTGAATTGCAATGGTGGAAAACATGAGATGGTTTTTTATTGTGTTCTGTGAATCTGGTTTCCAATTTTCTTCCCGTTTCTCCAATGTAGAATTCTGGGCAGTTATTGCATATTATTTTGTAAATGACGTTGGTATTGTGTGATTCTAAATAATTTATGTTTAGTAACGATTTTAATTTAGGGCTGGGTTTTTCAGAGAACTTGACATTGACAGGAATTTTGTGTTTAATGGCTAGTTTGTCCAAGTGTGGATTATTCTTAAGCTGGTTTCAGGGACAAAAGGTAAACTGCAGTGTAATGTTCTGTTGTTGGGTTTGTTAGTATCAATTTTGTTTGTTAGTTGAGTTTTTGTGGTGAATGTTGAAAAGTTTTTCAAGAACAGCTGCTGGAAATTTGTTGGTGTGAATGAAGGAATGCTTTATGTGGTTGATTTCTTCATCTAACTCTAAAACCAAATAATTGTCAAGAGTCCACACAAGCTGATTAAATTACTTTAGGATCCAACTGTCAAGATTAATTTCATTACACTATATACAAAGACTGTTTTTATTTCATATCCTAAGTCTTCTCATATCGTCTACATCAACATTTACAGTTCCTTTGTTAGTCTCTCCTTGTGTAGGGGCCCCGGTAGGGCTTCACCTTGACAGGATCCTTTGTCTTCATTTTGATCTTGTGTTTCCTGAGGTCTTTTTATCCTGATCTATCTGAATACTAGCACAGTAGATCCTGTACCTCTTTCTTCTTCTTGTCAGTCAGTTCGTAACTTACGTTGACGTTCTTGTATGTCTCATCTCAATCCAATGGTCTTAGGCCTGGTAGGTCTTTATCTAACAAAGTCACTGTCTTCAGCTTCTGCTTCTATGACAGCCACACCTGCCATGTCCATTCGTACCTCATCCGTAGCTGCATCTGTTAGATCTTCTTTCCCCTTAAAGTACCTCTTCAACAGATTGGCATGGTACACCCTTCACCTTATAGTGCATTCTGTTGACCACTTCCTGTACTGCAAAAGGTCCTTTCCACTGCTGGGTAAGTTTGTTGTTGGCTGTGGGTAGCAGAACTGAGACCTTCTGTCTGACCTCAAAATGTCTATCCTTGACCTTGCTATATGAATATTTCTTACTGACTTTGATGTGTTTAGCTTCACAAGTAAAACTGCTTTGATATATACAGTTCAATACTCCTTTTGCAGTCCACTGTTTTGTATTACACTTGTCTTTTGCTTGGGCATTATTGCAAAATTTCTGCAGTGAAGGGTCTTTCTTCTACCCTTTCTTCAGCTCCCATGAACCTACATTCAGGATGTCACTTTTCAAGACTTTAAAAGGATTGATATCTTGCTTATTCTTTTCCCTTGAGCTCTTGTGGTGAGTGCAGATGCCACATCAGTTTTATTTCTGTCTAGTTCTTCCAAATTTCAACTACCTAGCTAATTCCAATCATCAAGTCGTATATTGGTACCTTCATACATATGGCCTCAAGGTCTCCTACATAATATGGAGTATCCACCTTTATTCTTGCTATGTGAAACTTTCTCACTGTCCCATCAATCAGCACACACAGATGTACCTTGCCCGTCATCTGATCATAAGATACTAGACTGGTTCTCACTTCTGCACTCAGTGTCTCACAGGACACTCCCTTTCTTGTCCATGACATAGTTTTCAACCACCAGCATGTTGTGATTTGTTGGGATCTCTCGATGTGTGTCACATTCTCCAATCACCACTGGTACTGTTGATCCATTAGCTAACTTGAGCTGACCATTAGTCCTGCACTGATCAATCATGAAAATGGCACTTCCTTCTTGTGCTGAATCTGAAGTTTTTTCTTGGTTACATTTCTTCTGACAGCAGCATCCATGGTGACAGTTGATCTTTTCTTGTTTCTTACCAGTGCTATCTTTGTAAATAGCCCCAGTTGCTTTAAGTTGAGAGTTCCACTGTTGTTTGTTGGTGATGGACTTGCACTTCTTTGCAATGTGCCCTTTGTTTATAACAAATACAGTATCTCTTCTCCAATTTGTCTGTTATCCCAGTGTTTCTCAACCAATGTGCCATGACACTGACTATGTTGTGCCATGTATTTCTACTTTTCCTGAGTAATTTTATCTAACTTTATATTATTGGTTATACAATTTCAGGCAAGCTTGAAACATTATTTTCCATCACTAGCTGTCAGTAATTTTGACTGGATCAGAAACCTATTTTCAAAATCATCATGTGAAATTGCTGAAAAGTTAAGAATACAAAAACAGACAAAATTGGCAGAAACAAGTACAGACAGAAACTTAAAAATTTAATTTTCTGAAATGACACTGGGGAAGTTCTGGTTGCTTGTGGGGAGGCAATACCCTGCTATTGGTTCTCAAGCAATACAAGATCTACTACCTTTTTGTTCTACATATCCGAATGAATTGGCATTTTCAACATTAACTGTCATAAAGAACAACAAAAGAGAACGTTTGAGATCAGTCAATCAAGAGCTTTGAGTGGCCATAAGCACTATCGAGCCTCGAATCATGCATCTATGTGCAGCAAAGCAGGCCCAAATATCCCACCTATTATGACGAATAATACATGTATAATCAAAAATTCTAAATAAATATTTGTATTACTATATTTTTTGGTGTGCCATAATATTTAAAGCTATATTTAGTATGCCGTTGGGCTGAAAAGGTTGAGAACACTGTATTAGCCTACTGTCGCCTTTGGTAGACTTCTGTTCCTGGTCAGCCATCACCGGTTTCGACATTAACTGGAGATTTTGAGACTTACCCGTTATTCTCTCTCCATGGGCTTCCATATATTGTTCTGCCAGCTTGATCATCTTCTCCACATTTTTGGGTGCTCTTTCCTTTAGGAACAGTGATACGTCAGTTGAGCTCTTGATCATGAACTGTTCATGTATTAGTAGATCTGCCAGTCCCTCAAAACTATTTTCACACTTGGCCATGTCAGTCCATCTAGTGAAGTATCACCATAGACATGCCAGAAACTTAAATACAGTTTCTCCAGTGTCAGGTTTGACTTCTCTGAACTTATGACCTCAGTAAGTTTATATCATTTCAGCAAGGCCATTTTTAAATTGTCATAATTTATGGCATCTTCGGATGTCATGCCTGCATATACTTGTGAGATGGGGGGCTGAGACAGACTGCCCAGTCACCTTTGCCCTAGTTTTGACTTTGGGCAAATATTTCATATCTCTACAAGAAAGCATCCATGTCATCTTTCTGTTCATAAAATTTGTGCAGCTTGGTTCAGCTGGCTCCGACCCCATTGTCATTCTTGAATCCTTCATCTTTCTATTGGGTGAGCTTGGCAATCTCAATTTGTGTTCTTATTCTATTTCCAGTCTTTAATTTTCTTCTTTTAATCTTTCTTCCTCTCTTCTCTGCATATGCTCTTCTCTTTCTAGTTATTGTTTAATAAACTCTTGTAGTTCATTGTCTTTTAACCCAAGACACAAACCTTTTTCTATCCTTTCATCAAACCTATTGACATGGTATATAGAGTGATTGTGATCTCTATACTATTTTTGCTACCACTACAGTTGTGTGTGTATATAGGCCTACTTCTGCTGTCGTTCATGTCTTCTTTCATCACTGTTTACCACTGTATCATCCTGGCTGGCTCACCAAATGTAAGAGTTTTAAGTATGTAAGATTGGAATTCTTCTACAGTAGGTGTATGTGATTTTTTGGTGGTAAATTTGGACAATAAACACACAGCACACAATCCACTTATTTTAAAATAATATGTATTCAAAACAATTCAAATGTATATACTAAATATTTTTACACTATAGGAAATCACAATTTTATCTAAAACTCTAAACAATTCTCTTTTCTTGTCAGGCTGATTCAACTACATTAGAATCCAATTGACATGACGAATTATTTCTCTCTACTCTTATCACAATAGTATCAGTGAATAATTCACTTACATTACTCCATGGGTTACTGCAGTTGTATTCTGAACTATAAATAACTGCCTTCTTTTTGACAAAGTCCACACAGACAGATTCAATTACTTCAGAACACCCTTTGACAAGACAACTTATTCTCCTTATCTCTATTAAACTGTGAATCTCAATTTAAAATATCGCCTGTTATGGCTAATTGCTCAAAAGCTGGCTAACATTTTTCTAACTTTTTTCTGACTGAACTTTTATTTTCACTTCACTTTTTTTTGTGTTCACTTGGTTGCCTATATTTATATGTTCACTATAGCCTGGAATTTTATACAAACTATGTGAGCGATGCTATAATTTAATAATACTCAGTTAAGGTAACAAGAAAAACACCGAAGATTCAAGTAACGTGACATCAACAATATTAGTAAAGCCTAGAAAACAATGTAATTGCAAACACAAGGTGTGATTCATACAGTTATGTAACAAAATTTGTCACAACTAACACTATTAAAATAATTACTTTTGACTCTCTTATGAAAAGTGAATAATCATTAAATACCAAACCACCATATAAAGTAAATAATAACTATTAAACTAAACAGTCTTGTATACCCAACAAACATTTTATGTACATATATATACTCTTCTTAAAATGCCATTTCTTTATAATATTAATGTAACAGTTTTCATTTTTCTATTGGTTTTATTTTTCATATTTAATTCAATTGTTATGCTTTCTATAATTTATTCATGATGCTCACTGTTGCTTGTTACAGATTTTTTGAAAATAACATATATACTTGCTTTACTCTTCCAATTATTAAAATTGTACTTACTTTAAATCTGTATTCAGTTTAGCCTTATAATGACTACAGTAAAGTATACAAAGGCTTACAGTGAATAAATTTCAATTTAAAGTAAAACCTGTTCACAGTATATTTGCTGAATGCTTGTCACTCACATTCTAACCTTTAAACTCTTTTTTGCTATGAAAGTTAAATGGGTGTTATTCTAAACAAAATTCATGTAAAATTGTGCTGTTTTTTATATATAAAACTGTCATATTTAATCACCTATATTTTCATCACTCTTCAGTGACTCTTTCTATAGTTTCTTGTTGATTTCAGACTAATATGCTTAAGTAAGAAAGAACCATAAATTCATCAATGATTAGGTACTGTACTCTCATTAATGAATAAATTTCAGAAACTGTTCTTAACATTTACACATTTCTTGAGTGAAAGTCATCCTCCAGATTTTTATAATCAAGTTTTTCTTTTCAAATTATTAAAGTTTCACATTATAAACTGACACCAATTTCTGTAAGATGAAAGGAGCTGGCTTGTAAAACAATAATTTATACACAAAATATCATGATGATATGGCAAATAATATGTGACCTAGTTGTTACATAGATATTTTAATCAAGTCATTGCCAATTTTCTCATATTCTTAAAAACCTTCTCAATGTAAGTGCTATCTCCTCAATACAACATATAACAACAACAAAAGCCTACTTCACTGTTTTTTGTTTTTTTATTCTAACTGAGCAAGTTTAGCTTTTAGGTAGTGTCACATTAACTCTTAATGCACAAGTGCTATGGAATGAAGTCTTCTGAGAGATGTCCTTGCAATTTTGCCTCTTCAACTAGTTGAAAATAACTAGAAAAGTCAACATATGGTAATAGTCTGCCATCACTGTCCAATGGCAAAGAATGTTTAGATGACTGAAATGGACTTGATGACTCAGAGCTACTTGTTTCAGTATGAGTCGAGTAAGTAACAGTAGCACTGGCTGCTTCTGAATAAACAGAATACACAGACGTTTCAACTGTTGGGTTCACATTAACGGACAGACCAGTCTTAAACTGACTAATGTCTGATGGAGAATGCAATCCCATCAATGGGCTTACTGGTCGTAAAGGACTACCCAGTGGATTAGGAAAGGGTTGGTTAAACTTTCGAACCTGAATAAAAATAAAACATTAAGGAATTAACTAAGACATATTACACACACATAACAACAAATTATCTTAACCAAAAACAGAGGGTTGAGTAGGTTATATAGTAAAATGTTTTGAGGCCTCACATGTTGACATTTTAAATTCCATGTGACCACATTCACACTTGTTCTATCTGACAACCATGCATCTTGATAATAGTTCTGCAGCATAGGTTTCATTACATATATATATACAAAACACATCATTTTTCCCCATATACTTTTAATAATCCATTTAGTATACAAAGATGATAATTTCTCAGCTCCCTTTTCAACGGTCCGATCATATAAAGTCGACAGGCACTGCAGTTGACAACTTGTATGTTTTCATACAGAATAGCATGAATATTCATTTTATATCTGCTTTAAATATGTGACAGATGAAAGGAAAGTATGATTGGCAGCCTTATCTTGATGAACTAACATCCCATTGGCCACATTTCAAGATAAAGATTGTTCTTAATTATACTGCACACTGCTGCCTAGAATAAGTGGATGGCTTTTGCCACTTACATTTGTGTTCATGGATTCTCACCTGTTACAAGACAAGACACTGCACTATGCTTACCACAACTGGATTATAATTTGTTGCTGGTCTCTTTCTGGATAGTCCTTGAGCCTCAAACTGATTCATATTTCTTTCTTATCCAATGTCATTAATTACAAGGAATATCCCTGACCAATTTTTGGTGGCATCACACTACCTATGAAATGCCAAACAATGTCAAGATGTAGTTTTAATACATTCTGCTCCACCAAAAATTTTACACCAGCTGTTGTTGGGAAGCAACTTACTGATTTGCATATTGAAAATCATTTTATTATAACATACTCAACTCTGTATAGTAACCACACTTACAATGGAATATGTATATGGAAAACACTTGAATCTTTCTTCTTTTTTCAATAATAGTTGTGGTTTTTTTACATCACCACCTTACCATTGTTAACATTCATACTGGTAACTGACCATTACTGGAACTGACTTGAATGCAAACTTCAGAAGATAGGTTTTATACACTACACTCAGTGGTTCAGTTGCAGCAACATATTTTATCAATTTTCTTTTATTTCAAGAGTCTAAAGGAGTGTACACTGAAGGTGCTGCAACAGAAGAAGTGCCCAGTCTTTGTCAACATTGTCTTAGTGTTTGGTTAGCTATTCAAGTCTGCAGCTGAGAACCTGAAAATGGTATTTCAATCCATACAAAAGGCAGGGATTTAAAACTGAAACTAGGAAAATGTGCATTGATAAACAAAAAAGTTTAGCTTCTTTACAGAATAGGTATCTCCATGGATCATGCTAAAATAGCAGTGGTGAGAGATTAGCCTTAACTTGCAACTAATTAAGAAGTCAACAGTGTTCTTGGTTTCCCATCAATTTAGTACCAACTACTTCAAGATCACCTAACCAGTATCAGCTCTTACTAAGGCAGAGATTCACTTCAGATGGAGTGAGGAATGTGAGCAAGCATTTCATTTTTTAAACTGTGCTTCAATATAAGCTCCAGAGTCGGCATATCTATAACATAATTGTTGGTGAAATCCTGATCAAACATAAGTGACAGTGGAATAAGAGCAGTGTTATCACAGTTGCAGGATGGAGTAGAACATGTAATCACATATGCTAGTCGTAGAGTCATGGCTCCTGAATGCAAATATTCTGTAATGAAGAAAGAACTGCTTACAGTTGTGGTCTTCATAAAACACTACTGGCATTACTCATATAGGGAAAAGTTTACTGTTCAAGTGAATCATGTATCACTTACGTGATTGATGAGCTTTAGCTCCCCTGAAGAAATGACAACATTGTGGTAGCATGACTTAATCATCCAGGTCCACAATATGGAAATGCAGACTGACTGTTTCGCCAAATAACGAAATCCTGTTTTTTATTAAATATTCTCATCGTGGACACCATTTTTGCCATAACAATGACAAGTCATTAAATAGGAGACTGTATTAGTGGATGGATGTCACATATAATACTATCAAAGATATTGGAAGAGAAATTAAAGGACCAAAAACTAGTGTGGGCACTCCTTGCAACGCAGCAAAGTTATTAATACATGACTAGATCAGATTAATGATCGTAGCATGGGTTCACATAACCTTTAGCACTTGTACGAGCAGTTACGAGAACAGGAAGGTGTGTGGTACCATTGTTATCAACCACTGAGCAGTGGTTCTCAGCTTGTGTAATCCTCAAAGCTTTGAGGCACAAGATTCTTCAGATTTTGCATAACACAAAGGTTGGAGGGTGCCAAGGTGTCATATGCACTTGTGCTAACATTCGACAGTGGTTCTTCTGGCCATATTTGAGTTAATATGTCCAGCACTGAATGCATGTTATTCAGCAAGATATGAGGAGAAAAATTTGAATAAATGGTAATAAAGAATAAAATGAAAACTTTTTCTAGTTTATTTTGTGTGACATTTTGAGCAGATGCCATTCATCAAGTAGCAAAGACCTGAAATCACATATATAAAAACAATTTAATTTCATTATACATTTCTCTGGTTACTTTTATGTGTTATAGTAACTTGACCTTGGTACTTGATTAGTATACATATGCACTGCATATGTTACACCTAAGCTATGTTAAGTAACTGTGAGCTTTTAAGTGTTGAGGAAGAGGTAATTCTAGTAAGAACTCTGGTTGAGAACAGGGGTTTAGCCAGCACTACAATGAATTATGTGAAGGTATTTATTTATTTAAAAAATCAGAAGATAGTGGACCTTTTAGTCTTTTTATAATACTGAGGTGGTCTTTTTAACACCCCAATCGCCAGCTACGTCTCTGGTTGGGAATACTTTAGTATAGTAGCATTCTTTTGAACTTTAAAATCTATGATTCATTAGTTGTTTATAGTTTAACTAACTTTTGCCATTCTGTTTTAATAACCTGCTATTTCTTCCTCTTTTTCATTTCTCTAATAATTTTTCTAAGCAGTTATCTTCACAAAACTGGTTGCAGACAGCGATAGGTGACATAAATATGAGATGATGTGGGCTTTGAGCACTCATATCTACATTATTATTATTATTACTGTTTTTCATAACTGGTGAGGCATGCAAATTGAGGTTAAATCTGATGAACAGGATATCCTTACCACTCTGCAAGTCTTATATCTGTAGATACCTCAAAACCCACAACAAACCTTAAAATTGTTAACACTATAGGTTGTAATTTGGCTGTTACCAGGGCTGGATTAACACAGGGACTTTAGGGACAGAAGCCCAGTTGGTGATCAGGATAAAGCATGGTTATTTTACCATTGTCTTTCATTAACCCTATCGCCATGGGTATCCTTTACTGCACATGTCACAAGGTTTTAGTGACTTACATTCAAAATGTTATTAATCTATTTTTGTTTATGTTATACCAATTAGTATAGCATACAATCTTAGCTAATAATCCATATTTTAATAGTATATAAGTTTAAGTCCTTAATTTTATAAGGCAAGATTTTAAAAAATCCTGAATTTCCCCTAGTGTGACACATTTTCTCCAGCCATCTCCTCTTCTCTATTATATCCACCACCCCTCCAATAAGTACAAAATTCAATATAAATTACTCACTATAAAATTGTTATTTCTCAGACAAATCATAATTTCTATAACTTTCAATGTTGTTTGGTTACAGAGCCATCAAACAAAAAATCAGACACCCTCTTGCTTCACCCACTTGTCACTTCTCTTTCAGGTTAATAGTTCTCTCTTATGTTTAATTCTATATTATCTATAACCAACAAAAAGCCAAGGTTTTCATCTGTTAAATGACATATTATATAATGTTGTTCTCTGTACAGAAAATTGGCAATTTCACTGTTAGTACAAGCTTTGGGAAAGATAACGACTAGCTTGTATGATTTTGTAATGGTCCTTACCACATAGTTAAAAAGCTAGAAAAATTGTAGTAGTTAAGGGAAATTGTCTACTTTTTGTTTGTTTGTTACTATTCTATGTTCCTTGGAGCATTATTTAACTCTCTCAACACAGGCTCGGTCAATTTTAAAGACCACATGATACAACTAAATTTTAATTATAGTATATATATATATATATATATCTTCTCAAAATTTGACAGTCTTTCAGTAAACATTATAAGTCTTTCACATAAAAAAAATCAATTTTTTAGTAAATTATTCTAAATAAACTAAAAAAAAGTTCTGTCAATGCATTTATTGAGTATTTGTTTTGAATAGTCTGTGAACAATGTGATTTTCATGTTAATATTAAAATAATGTTATCTTCATATCAAAAATCTCAGATTTGATTTGTGTAATCTCTAAAACCTCCTAAATACATTTCAAATGTTTTGTTTTCAATAAAACTTTATATTCTATCTGTTATTTACTCTACTCTAACTCTATACAAAGTTGGTCAATTTGACCTAACTCATAACCCCCCCCCAAAAAAATCAAAAAAAATCTAAGTTATCTTATTTTTCTTACTATAATCATTTCAAATTGTAACTACATGAAACTACATTAGCTTTTCCTAAGTAGTTTTAAACTTGTAACAGTATACATATATTTATAATTAAATTTTATTGCCCTTTGACCTCTGTCTATTTACTATTCATGCCATTATAAGTTGTAAATCACTTGAGGAACGTGGAGATTACGTTATGCTATCGAATTACATTATCCATGAGCTACTACAAGCTGCTCGCATGCATGCCTCATGAAACATTTTATCATATTGTTAATATTATTTATTTTACCTAATCTAACCTTAACTAACCTAAAGTGATCCTTATTTTTACATTTTAATAACTTTTATAATAATAAATAAAGTATAAACATGAAAAACAAGAAATAACATACTTACCTGAGTCTTCTTTTTTCTTGCTGTCAATTGTCAATGATAGTTAACTTTTATTTTTTATACTAATGGTAGTAATGCATTAAATAATTTTTATTTAATTAAAGTAGTGACCACCAAATAAAATGGAACCTTGCAGTCAAAGGGAATCCTGATATATATTTATATATATCAGCACTTGCGTATAATGTTAAAATAATAAATATATAATGTTAAAATCAATACACAATTAAAATCATTTCAAAATAAGGACTCTACATGTTTCAACGTGTCACACATCATCTTCAGGAGTGAAGTTGCGAGAGATAAATTTCACATTTTATACTTTCTTAAATATCATGTGACCTGTCTGTAATTTTGCATTTGTGCATAAATATCATAACAGATCTCGCCACATTCTTAGAAAGATATTCACTGGATCTTCATCTCCAGTTAATAATTTATAATTCTTTTTAAATTTCATTATTTCCAGCAATTCTCGAGTATTAGTTGCTGTAATACCTTTAGGTTGAGCTAATAAAATTGTTTTTTTTTCATAATATGTTATTTTGGGTTTTACTTACATGTTCTGCTATAGCCAAATTTTCCTTTTTTTCCTTTTTTATACATCTCATGTTCAGCTATACAATATTTTAAATTATGTTTCGTTTGTACAATATAGATACTTCCACATTCACATTCAATTTTATAAATTCCAAATTTATTCATTAATTGTACATCATCTTCACTATTGCCTAAAATTTGTTTTATCTTTATTTGTTTTATTGGTTTAAATATAGAGCAAAACATTTGTTGTTTTTAAAACTTTTTAAATAAATCAGTAGTTAAACCTGGAATATATAGTAACATTAAATATTCCTTTTTAATTTTATCATAACTTGGTTTCAATGTGATACCTTGATCTATTATTGCCACATCAGTAAATTTGTTAACTGCTCTATCTACAATACTTGGGCCATCAAAGTTAATCTGGCCCTGGTTGTTACTGTTTGTGTTATCGTTCCTGTTAGATTTTTTGAAGCCTGATTTTCATAGTTTACATAATCTATGTATTTCTGAGATTAATGTATAATAGTGGGAGAATATATACATATATATTTGTTATTTACACAAGGGCTATCTGCACTAGCTGTCCCTAATTTAGCAGTGAAAAACTGGAGGGATGGCAGCTAGTCATCACCACCCACCGCCAACATTTGGGCTACTCTTTTACCAACAAATAGTGGGATTGACTGTCACATTATAATCTCCCCATGGCTGAAAGGGCGAGCATGGTTGGTGAGATGGGGATTCGAACCCACGACCCTCAGATTGTGAATCAACCAATATTTGTAATAAACAAAAATGTCTCATAAAATTCAAAAAAGCAAAACTGTCCTTACTTTTATCAAGTATAAATTTGAACTATTTTACAGCCATAAATACACTGATTATGCATCATCCATCTGCATTTGTTTTTAAGCATAAGCTTAAAGATTATTTTTTAACCATGAAAATAACAAGCACAGTAAATAATTACCTGTTTACAATAATGGAATTAAATCTACTTTTAACAAAAAAATCATACCAAAAGGGTCATGTCATTACGACGCTCGCAACGACGAGCCTCTTCTCCTCCACTGACGAATCGGTCATGATGAATACGCACAACTTTATCTACTACAGCTTGAGCCACTCCTACCAATGTTGACTGCATGTGAAATTGTTCCAGAACCATTTCAGAAATGATTTCATTCACCTATACATGCAACAATGTTCAAAGAGTTCATATGTTTCAAGATTTTAACTCAACATCACTACAGTGAATTTTCTTCATCTTTCAATTTATTTTTTCCTGTAAAAAATAACTTAAAATCAAGATTTAATGCTTTATGTACCTAGCAAACTCTTTTATGTAGAAAGCAATAATGGATACATTTTATGTTACTGCATATTGAAATTTGTAATCCAAAACAATACCATAAAAATTATAAGTTAAATGTCAGTTTTGAAAAGGAAAAATATATTGACAATTTTTATTAATTCTTTACATTAGAACATACTATAAAGACAGGTTTGAAAATGTGGATTGTATTTATGTATTCAATGCTACAGTTAAATAAAGATTAACATTTACAAATACTAAATGTTATTAACAACAACAGTTATGGTGATAACGTCTTTTTCCAGCTGGCAAAGCATGATAATAATTAACTGTACTTGTCATTCGGCATTAGTACTAGGCCAATTATATTTTTAACATTACTTTCTTTATCTAGTCCCTTAGAGATTTTTCAAGTTATGATGCTTTGCATAACTTCTAACCCCATAATCAGCAGCAAGAATAATGTTGAATGTTTTATAAAATTGAATGAATTTTGTATTTGAAATGCAACAGGAAAAACCTCATTTGTGAAAAAATGAATTTGAGTTTCTATCCTGTAAGACTTGTAATATTGGACAGATCCTATTGTATCTAATAAGTTGTGAGTAGTAAACATTAAAATATAATTTATTTGTAATACTTGTGTTTGGAGATGAAAAGTTTATAACTTTAAAGTTAAAAGTGATTCTAATATACAAGTGTAAAAACAGTACAATGTCATTTTACTTATGATTAATGTCCTTACTTTTATTAAATAAGAAAAGTGATAATCTTCTAGTGTAAAGATTCTTTGCTGAGAAAGTGGTCCAATCAGAATATCTGTCTTTGAGCTTAATCACAATATCACAGTTTCAAAAGTTTAGATTATATTAATGATAAAAGGGTTTAGTGCTAATGGCTGCTATATTCTGTTAATTCTTTGACAATACCATGACGTTTTAAGAACTCTTGTACTTGTTGATCAGTAGTTTCAATCCTTCATTAAACAATGGTTCTTTGCATTTTCTGCCGAAAATAATACGAGACATTTGAAAAATAGTTTAATAAAACAAAAATTGTGGTCTGACTAGAGTATTTCATGAGGTGTTTTGAAGTCAGTCATTCTTGACAAGTTAAAATAAATACATCATGAATGAGGTGGGAGGGGGGATGGTTTCTATTGTGAGGTATCTATGTGAAATATATTTTCAAGTAAGGACAATGTTAATTTCAGAAATGTTACTTTTTCACAGAACTGGGAGCTAAAGTTTCAAATAAGGTGTAATGTAAGATAGCTCAATTGGCCATTATATCTCAAACATAGATGAGTAGTACGGCTAGTACAGTAAGTCAGGCCATACAATACATGAGAAATACCTACATGAAATATGTATTATGTAGAATAAATGGAGCAGGGAGAAACTTCTCAGACCTAAATGCAGAGGCAAATTCAAGACCTAACCACTGAGAATGGGCTTGTTGTGAGTGTAGGGATTGATCTATATGTGTATATATATATATATACTACACTTCTAGGTAAACATCTCAGACCTTCCAACCAAGGGGTGCATCCACTCAGTCTCATACTAGTGGGATTACACTGATCTGAAGGGAAACTTTCTATAAACCTACCAAGTGGCTTGGGACTGTGAAAGCAAGGGTACTCTTGTTTCTTCCTCAGAAGAATAGAAGGAGAGAATTCTGCATAGACGAAAACTCTGGAGAAGCACGTGGACTGAACAGGAATTTTCTGTCATCTGCATTAGGTCCCACAAACAAGGACAGCAGGACAGGTTTCAAAAGCAGCATCAGCATAAATCCTTGCTACAAGTCAAGATATAGTAAATTGCAGTTGTCATGGTAGAATAAAAATCCCTAAGCATGTAGCATTGGCAGCTTCTGTTCACCATTTAACTGGAAGCATGGTACTTATTTCCACTCTAAATCACTTAGGTCACTATATTTTCTCAAAGCATCAAAATTTGGTAGCAATCATACTTACCAATATTTCTTCTAATGTTCCTGTTTCTTTTGTGTGAGACAACAACGACTTTCAGGAACCACCTTCAGGAAAGAATACAACACACTGCACAACAAAAATTGTTACACAGTCATCTGTTACTTCTCATGCTGAAGCACCTAGGGTTACAAATTGAGGTTTCCTCCCACAAAATATCAGTTCAACACACACCACAGATGATCCATGAAGAATACACCTATGGCAATAAACTTTATGGTCCTCCTCAAGTTGAAAAATCAATGGAAATCCTTACAGATAAACAACCAGTGTTGCAGCAACAAACTCATAACAACAATTTTGTTTGGTTTCTATCAGGCCTTAATGCTCATTTATCAATCCCACAAAATATGTCTGGATGGTGTGGTTTCAATTCAGTTTTGAGATGTGAATGTGCCATTCAATTACCACATAAAATGGGCTACCTTTCAGAGATAGAAACACCATCTACTGAATTGAATGCTGTTTACATACTGATGAAACAATCAACCAAGACTGTCAATATGCTTTATGGTGCCAGTGATGGAACTGACAGCCATATGCCAAATTTACTTGTGGTTTCTGATGAAGCAATGTAGGCAAAAGCATTTGAAATATATTACTCACCACTACACCCTACACTCCAAAGAATTGTTTTGCAAATGGGAGCATTTCATATTATCATAAATTTGTTGTCAGTCACAGGACATTGTTTTGGCAGTGCAGGTTTGTGGGACATATTGATAGAGTCAGAGTTTTTTGGCAACTGGTTCAGCTGATGCAGCCTTAGAAGGATGCCATTACAACAGGGGTGTGAGGGTGAATAAACTGGTGCGGGAAGCATTTCACAGATTGTATTTGGCTGCATTTTTGAAATGGAATGGTGAACAAGAAAATACTGTTGAAAATTTATTGGCCATCTCTGTTGATAAATTAAAGGATGATCTTTCTTGAACCTCTTTGGAAACTTTGCTTACATCTGATATCTTTGTTTTGACAGAAAATCATTTGCGAAAGTTTCACTTGTCATTGGGACAAAAAGGCCAGTTTTGATTAACTTATATAAACATGGTTTGTTTGTTACTTCAGTTTATTCATTCATCAAGAGAAGCAAACTGGGACTTTACATGTGTCATGTTTACTTAATATGATGCCATAGTATGCTGCTTATGACAGAACCAACTATACCAGATATCTAACTGCTTATTTACTCAATATGTTAATGCTCCCTGATAGCCATCTTGATACTAATATGCAACTCAAAGATCTACAGGTAATTCATTTGAATGTATTCCACACATTAGACAATTGTAGTTCCAGCAAATCAAGATACAAAAGCACATGGTGGAATTGTGGGAATCACACTAAATAGAGGTGTTGTGTTGAAGTGAATGGTCCTCCATGCTGATCATGGAGAGTACATGTGATTGAGTAGAGAAATGTCATGAGAAGTCAAAACTAAAACTGATTACAACACCATGCCAAAAGATGCAAAACAAAAGCATATTACTGATGATGAGATTGCAGTTAATGAAATTCAAAAATGTATACAAAATTGGATAAATCTTTTTGATAATCAAGACCAATTGTGCTTCCTTGCATCAGGAATAGCTTCAACAAGAGAAGTTTTCCAAGAGTTACTACATGCAGAAGATAAAGGAAAGGAAGCAATTCAATTCTTTGTAAGTAAGCATTTAGACATAAGAGGTAGAAATGATTTTTATACTCCAATAAAGCAGATCAACCATAAGACTTTTGTATCAATGGAATCAAAGAAGTCAAGTAAATCTGAGACAATTTCTGTTCTAAAATCAACAAGAGAATTATTTGGTCAATTTCTTGTTATTGGCCAAACCAGAGAAATACCTTTGCAAAAACTGTTGTCATTTTCACTTGAATCATTCAATCTGTCAAAAGCTACACCAGAAGGAAACCTAGTTAAAACAGTTAAATCTGCACTGTTGAATGAATTTGAAAAGTCTGCAAAATCAGTGGACTTTTGATGCCATGACAGTATTACAAACCACCAAAGTAGACTCCACTATCATAATTTACAGTCAACTTGCTCAATCAGTGCTTGATATAATCCTTCATAGAACTGAAGTATCTTCGAGAGTTGACTGAATTGTTGATACTTATCCAGATATATCAATCAATTGTCTGAACATGACCATTGTGCAACAACAACAACAGTGTCACTACAAACTAAAATAAAGTTAGTTGACCAGAAAGTTGATCATCAGTTTAAAAAGGCACTCAGAAGTTGACAGTTCAAAAAAGAGTTGATCAATTTTTGAATGAAAGAATGGCAAAAGCCAGTTTATATGAGAAAAGTGGGTAACAAGCTGCTTTATGTAACCTATGGAGAATAATGTAAGCTCCTTCAAGCTACTGGGGTTGAAAGAAATTACATATCCTCATTGTCAATATCTAAACTTAATTGCAGCCATGAAGTAGCTGATAGCCAATTGTTGCTACGTGCATTACATGCCTCCCAGCATGGTTCCACAAACCTAATCTTCAAGTCACCTGACACAGACGTTAACACATTGAGAACTGGGAAAGCCCTGAATTTGTAGTTCCTATGTTATTTAGGATGGGAGTGCAACCACAGAAACATAAGTGTGTGCTGTTTATTCATCATTGAATTAACTGCTAACAAGTCACAGATACCTACTGTAGAAGAATCATAAGCCCAACAACAACATAATCTGACACAACAGTCTGCATTTATTATGAAAATGATGTCATTAAACTTTATCTAGCAATGTTTGGATCAAAAACCAGGACCCAGTTGGAAATGGATGGACTGTTGATGAATCAGTTTTTATTTTTTTTATTGGCAAGACAATCCTGAATCAACAAAGGCAGTGCTTCAGTGTGTTAGTTCCACATGTCA